GCATCGACACTGTAAAATTTGATATGATCGAAATACATTTTCAAAGGCTTTGGCATCGTGCACAAATTTTCTCGCAATCTCACCGGGTAACGAAGGCAGGTCGAGCCAAGTCGTGGAGTGCCTCGATTGCCACCCATCGACGTCGGTTAAAAAAATACACGTTATCCGGACTCGCAAATTTGTTTGCGAGAGGCACTTGCGAGATATTTGGCAGTCACCCATTGACTGTTTACATCAATGCCTATTTGTGATGCGACTTTTCATGACAAATCCCACATACAAGATTCAAGATAATATTCATTACTAATATTGTAGCACTGCGGGAATAAACCTCAACTGTTTACAGTACGAACACTGATTGGTCGTACAGTATGGAGTGTTTGGTATGCACACTGATTGGTCGGTTTCCACCAATCACAATGCAATACCCATGATACCTCTCCTTGTAGAATCCCCTCGTGTTGTGGCGGCGGCGGTGAAGCCTTCATCGTCTTTGGAGTGGAAGCGCATCATCCATGCTATGCGAGATCCAGGGCGGAGCGAGTACGTGTTCGTTCCGCACAAATACATCCATTCCACGCCAATCCTGTCCCACGGCCAGGTGGCATGGACTTTGAAAAATCGGAGACGCTGACGAAACCACCTCGCTTGAACAACATTGAAAACTCAGCAAGTTAGTACCAGTAGGAATTATTAACTTATACAGGTATTGCGTGACCATTGCGCTAGGCAAATACTTCGAAGTAGTGACTAGAGTATAGTTATTGTCGATTTTCTTGAAATTTCCCAATTTTGCATGGTTTGTTCAATCGAGCACAAATAGAGCCGGGACATCTGATTGGCCATTATCCACTTCGCCCTTTTTCCCGCAGAAACTCGAAAATGGATTGTAGACAATCAGCGACAAGTAATTTCGGATTGACCAATGGGAGAGATTGGTGCTCGATTCGCTCGTCGATTCAACGGGGTCCGGATATTCATACCGAATCTCCAAACAATACGATACTGTACACCTGCATTATTAGGAGTACTTCCAAGTATGTCGGTTGTATGCCTGATTCGGACTTTAGTATTAATAGTTTAACCAATACGCTGGGCACTCGCTATCGTGTCAAGCACCAAAGGCTGGAGCTGAAACTGGACATTTGGATTGGCGAAACCAAGAGGGAGTGGAACATGCGGAGGGAGAGCAAGAAGCCGTCGCGAGTCCATCGTCACCACCGTCGCGTCATTGATGTCAATGGGGGCGACATCCTGCGGTGCCACCCCCACGATGCCTCCTGGGGGCTCGACAGAGTGGAGCTTGTACTGGCACGTTTCAAAGTGTGGAGAGATGTAGATGCACA